AAGTGGTCATGCAAACGTTTTCTTTTAGTTGAGGTATAGTTTCTTTTTGTTTAACTTAACAATATGGTAGTTGCTCTGAAGGTTTGTTTACCGTGTTGGGGTGCGCGTTAAACGCCTTCTTTCGGTACTGGAAGAAGTGATACATTAAAACGTCTTGGAGCTCCACATCTACTTCGCCTAAAGTAGGATTAAGTTCTTCTTCTTTTCCCTTTTTTTATCCTCTTCTGTTTCTATCTTTATCACTTTTTTCTTGTGCCCCTTCTACGTACGCTTTTTCACTTTCCCCTTATGTTTCTTCTTCCTTTTATTTTTTTCTTGTTCTTCCTCGTCTTTTGCTCTTCTTTTTCTTATTCTTTCTCGTCTTTTCTTTTGGTATCGTTTCACGGTTCTACTCTTGATATTACTGTGCTCATCTTCATCACATATCCCATTTTTGAAGTTAGTAATGCAGTATGTGATCAGTCGTCTTTATCTTTGTGTCCTGAATGACTGCGTCGGTTTCTAGTCATTCTCTGCAAATAGATTCTAATTTTGCCGATGGTGATAACGAAAGGCTACTCTAGACTGTTAAGTGAATTATTTCCATATTTATTTTACGCTTGCGTTTCCCAGCCATGTATCAGCAAAATGGCCGGTTGAATAATTATAGGCCAGATTGAAACACCTTTTAAAAAATTTGACTTGTGGTATATGTATAATATTCTATTACAGCAATGGAATAGTGCAGAAGAACATATATCTCTATGTGATAGCACTACCATGATGCTACACCGTATTTATAGCGTTGTATATGCACGATACATGTGTTACGTTGATGCATATCCGTTCACTTTGTACGTAAATGAATATAAAGGCATATATATTAGTTCATCGGTAGAAAACTGCGGAGCCATATGTACTTACGTAGTAGTACGTATGTTATGTTATTACTCAATTAAGTTCTATTTTATGACTCTGCATATAAAAGTGGAATTATATATGTACGTATATGGAACATTATACTGATACACATGTCTATATAAGATTGCGTGCATTAGGTTCATATTTATTTATTTATTCATTTATACTACTGTGCCCATATGCATTCTATCTTGCAGATGTAGATATAATGTTAATATGGCAGCAAATATATAATGTTATATATTTGCATATTTTATGGGCACTAATGAATTAATGTAAATTATGTTTCACGTTACATATATTTGTATTTTATTTATACTTGTGACACGTGTAAAACCACTCTCTTTCAAATGGTCGGGGATTTATTTATGCTTTACTTATATACTTTGTATTATACAACAAGTGGTTAATAACACCAATATTTGTACTTGTGTGGTATACTTTAATGGCATGGATATACATGTAACATTATTCGTATGCTAAAACATAATTGTGCCTTTCAACAAGTATGTACTCGTATTCTGTAGTCCATAGTAGTACAAATATTTTGGCCATGCTCTCTGTATAATCGTAAAAATGTGTGTACTTTCATAGAATATTTGCAGTAAGACGTCTGGCATAACTCTGACATGACATAACCTTGTGATAATATCATCATGTTTGCTGTTACGTCGATTTGTATGCTTTGATACTGATATGTCTAGGTACATACATTAGAGTGTTCGCGTTTTATGCTGACTATGTCCTTTTAGCTTGTCGTTAAAGACAGCGGTTCGCCCTCGTTGTCTTCATCTTGCATATTTACCATTCGTTGTCGTACGCGAGCCCGCGTATTGCATCAAATATCGGTCCAAGATCTTCATTCGAGAATAGTGACGTATTTGAACGAATTCCCCGGCGGACTGGTGGGTAAAATACACGTCAGCAGCGGGATGTCTGTTCATCATGGTCTTCGCTTTGCGATTGAGTCGGCGTTCGACTATTCAGACGTGATCAGCGTCGATCCAGAGGACGGGCATATACTGGCGGTGGCCGACATTTCGGAAAACGTGTACATCTTCAATGTCACCGTTCTCGGTATGACGTCGCGCGCCACAGCTACTGCTCATATAGAGGTGATCGCTATAACGATGAAGATGCTCGAGTCAGCCATCAGCGTCACGCTTGACGACGTGTCCCCCGAACGATTCGTCCGCTACTACTTCGATTCGTTCGAGAAAGCCCTCCGCAAGTAATCACGCATCACTGTGGCCGCTGACCACTGAAATCAAGCTTACTCGTTTAACGTGATTGCTTTCAGATTGCTAAATATTCCTTCAGCATTCGTCCGAATAATCGCCGTCAAAGAGGCTGGTTCTACGTTGCGGTCACAGCGGCGACGCAGAGACCCGTTGGGTATGCAGACGAACACGGAACTGCTGGTGATTGTCAAAAAGTCGAAGCACGACTATCAGCGTCCGCGAGTGTTGGTCGACAGCCTTCTTCAGCGACAGGACGAGTTGTCGAGTGCTATCGGTCTGCACATCCGGAAGATCACCGCTGGTCTGTGCTCAGATGAAGACAACGATCGGTGCGTCCGTGGAACGTGTCGAGATCTGCTCTCGTTCGACAACATGCAAGTGTTGACGGTGCTTACAGATCAACAGGCATTTGTGTCGCCTCGTTTCGAACGAAAAGCGCTTTGCCTGTGTCCTGAAGGATTCGCTGGTATTTTGTTTTGCCTTTATTCACCCGTAGGCTATGTAACGAAAAACATTCACGTGATGAAAAAATGATTGGTGTAGCAGTGGACTGACTTGAATTTCGTCTCTATATGCCAGTAATATTTTCGATATTGCTGGACTTAAGGTTAGTCTTTGTCCCGTCTCTCAGTGCATCACGTTGTGATCTGTTCTTCAGCATTGCATTCTTGAGGACTGACCAAATGAACATCATTGAATTCCAAAGCGAAGGTCGCCTGCTGTTGCTACGTTCAACATCGTGTTCAGCTACAGTGCGGTGAAGTACTCTCGTTACTGTTATTCAGTATCTTAAGGAATACCTCACGCCGAGAACTGTAACCTCAAAAGAAACAGAATTGGACCTTTGCTCTTAGGCCAGGAAGAAAATCCAGGCATTGGGCACTTGATATCCTAATCGACTCGGCGTATGCATTCGATTCTTGCTGTATTCTGAAAGCCGTCACTTACGTTCTATACAGTAATGCAGAAGAGATTGAGTCGGACAATAATAATACTATCGAGAGCGCCAGCAGTGATTTGCGCCATTACCGCAAATTGCATGATGGCAAAAGCAGTCCATTTCACGTACCCGGGTTCAATGTTAGCTTCTGGTTGAGGCTGAGTTCCAAATATTAATCGATTATGCGATTAGCAGTAGTAAACTTCGCAAAACTGCGTGTGAAAGGCCGATCAGTAACGAAGTAGGCGAAGTTTACTTATTTAAAGACTGTTCTTCTCCATTTTGTGAACGGCCTCGAAACAACGGCAGTCCTGGAGCGTCAAGAAGATCAACCAAACTGCTTCCGCAGTACTGCCTGCCCTACAGGATATATAGCGAACTGTCATATACTCAAAACTGCCGGAATGAAGCGCTCCTCTAAAAAAACCAAAAGTTCGGATACTCCCCTTGTTTCATAAAACGGTTATGAACACATGAGACCTTGACCACAGTTTTTTTCTATATAAACCAACACGGGCGGTAGAGAAGGGAGGCAATTTTTAAAGTTCGCAAAATATATGAGAAACAGATCGTCGCTCAACAACGAGGGCGATCTATCTAGAGTAGTTAATGCTTAAATGTGCAGCGGGATCAGTTTATCTGCATCTAGTTTATCTCATTCTGAAACCAACAAAGTTATTCAGCTTGTCGCTCCCAGATGATGGTGACTAACAAGAGCAAGAACCATAAATCTTAAAACGTGTCTCTTGTCTGCTCTCTTTGCATCCTCATGTCCGTATTTTCATAAAATTTCAGCTCTCCTAATTTGACACTGCATACCACAAATTGATTCCTTAAAATAATATGAGCCACAGTAGGTCTATAAATCAACTTAAAGCTAGCTGATTTCTACGTCTACCCGTCAGAAAGAACTATATGATAAATGCGCATATTCAGGCCTTCGGTGCGAGGCGGCGGTCAACGTTTGTGCTGAAAAACCTTGTGGTAACGCGATGCTGTGCGTGGCAAATCCCAGTGATGACAAGTACCAGTGCGAATGTCCTAACGGCTGGGATGGTAGCAGCCATTGTTCGAGCGTTTGTCGCTCGGATGACTGTAATAAACACTGTTCGTTGTTTCATGCTGGATCTACCGCTTTTCTCGTTTCGTTCCAGGTGCAGTAGTGAGTTTCAATGGCACAAGCTTCCTGGGATACTTTCTGCCGAGGACAGCTGAGGTTCGTCTGACCGTCAGTTTCGATGTGAAAACGCTCGCTAACTTCGGTGTATTGTTCGTGGCTGCCGGAAAATCGGACCACATCTTTCTGGAGGTATGTTGTTGTCCGTTTATGTACCCCGTTTAATCACTGATCTTTTCCAAAGAAAATATTTAAAATTGCCCCCACCCCTCCCTCCACATTTCATGGGTACCTCTGATTGAGTGAATATTCATGATTTATATTCGCGTTAATTGTACATAGATCACCGACTCATGGTTGAGAATACCAAACAGTGCAGATATTGAAACTATTGCGAGGGAAAGGGTGTTAATATCCACATTGGTTGATATCCTCTGTGAATCGGCGAACCATTCACAATTTCGCCACTGGCCCAGAATCGGATCGTTAAGTAATATTTATAATCACGTAAATTTCTAAAGCTAATCATTGACCTAAAAATGTGTAATATTGTATTTTATTGCCATTATCATGTGCGCGTATTCGACGGGAGACCTCTGAACCAGTCAGAAGAAAGCCATCTTACTGTGTCTCCGGGGAACAAGTGAAACGTAATGCTCTGTAGAACAGTCATTTTACTCCGGTGTGAGCTGCAGACTGTTTATGATTCAATGTCCTTTACAGTGAACAGCTTGTTTGATAACCAGCTCAATGGTAGCAGCCTGATTTCCAACTACTGAGTGGTTATCCTGGTCACCAGTCAGGATTTCATAATAATCCGCGTGAACCTCGTTCGCTGATCATTTCGTGGTTCATGATAGGCCTTCACTTCTACCGTAGCAGTTAAAGTGGAAGGAATACCACTGTACTTCTCCATACCAAGAAACTCCTTATTTTGGTCATTGTCCGCTCCCTGCGAAAAGGACGAAAGGGTAGGTTTTAAGAATCATTTTTATGCTGTATAGTACGATATTGAACACACATCATAGTTGTTTGCGGTTTTAGTGTTAATGGTTTCTTGAAGATTTCTGCGGTATCTGTATCAGCAGAAACGTTGGAGACTATCCCCTACGTTTACGCTTAGTTATGCTTATTTTCGTGAGTCATCTAACGTTTCAGTTTCTTACCCATCTGTAGCATTTTTGGCCATTGATCAATATTGCTTCCTTTAGTGTACAACGTAGCCAATAAATTTGGATTGTCATCGAAATTGTCGCTCTCGTCGTTAAGCATGCTTTTTTATTCACGTGTTTCTCTATTCGATCTGTTTCGCTTTCCTTGTAGATGAGTAACGGTCTAATAACGCTGCGTTTTGACTTTGGATCCGGCGAGCAGGTCATCCGAATGAATTCGCCGAAGGTCGCTGACGGTTCGTGGCACCACTTACGGTTTACCTATCGTCGAGACGCTGTTGTACTTAACGCCGACAAGTTCGAATCGAGGACATCGGTGTCAGCGACTTCGACCACGCTGAACCTCGGTGATCAGTTTTGGGCATGGTTTGGCGGTGAGGTGCGGTTGGCATCAGCGGCCAACGGCTCGTCCTTTCGAAGCGTTCGTAACGGGTTTGTTGGTTGCCTACGAAACATTATGGTCGATAGCTTCGTGCTGCCGATCGGCGATCCGGTGACCAATCTGTACAACGTCCGGCTGAACTGCGACGACAACCGCGACGCGATGTCATCGATCACAACTGACGCCGATGAGCATCGTCGCCACCACTGCGAACCGGGTTTCTGCCTGAACGGCGGCACATGCATCGAGGACGATCAGGGCGGCAGCGGCGATCACGCTTGCATCTGTCCGGCGAACCACGGCGGTCTGCGATGCGAAATTTCAGCCATGTGGTGCGAGCGCGACCCCTGCCTGAACGGTGGTTCGTGCGAGACACTGCGCAACGGCTATCGATGTCGATGTACCCCTGGATATACTGGTATTTGAATTTTAACTTTTATATTAGAGTCTGTTATGTTCATACTCACTGCATGATGAACTCATTTTATTACAGAAATGTAATTCTTTCAGTCTGTTCTCTTAAATTGACACCGATGTTGCGCCATGGATTCTGAACTGGAAACGGAAACCTTTTTATATTTATTGGTTAGCAGTGTGAGGAACAAATGTAGATCCAATATTTCGACCTAACCGATATTGCTTATCATTAGGAGACGAACAAAACGATATGTCGTTGGGCGAATTAGTGTTTGACTCTGTTCTTTGTCTATCAAGCAATTGATTAGGCTCCACGCGCGGTAATCTCACAGGAGCTAAGGCATGTTTTCAGTATGAGCGATGCCTGTTCTGTCGAAATGCAGAATCATTAATTTTATACCGCAGAGAAATATTCTGTACAAAAGTATGCGTTCATTTGCAAATGTACATGTAAATGACTGAAACGTTCTATTCAACTTGATTTTCTATGCTTGTCTACGGTCATGTGTTGTAATCGCGAAAATCTGCGATACCGCCTATAATGAGGCTGAAATGGGCCTTGTGAAACATCGTTGGGTTCGCGCATCTCGGCTGGGTCAGCACTTAGGACATCCGAGAAACTTTCGTGCAAAGGCGCTGCCTCTCCCGGCTAACAAGTTACAGCTGCGAAGGTCTGAACACGTTTTGCAAATGCTTCAAGAAAAGACGTAGGAACTGCTTCTGCCAGTTGAAGACCCGGAAAAGACCAAGAATGACCTTGGACAAGTGGTTTGATGATCTCTGCTCCAGATTCCGGGATTCTTCAGTCAGAACTCAGGCGATGTCATGGGATTGCGAATTTTTGGCGTCGCTATATGACGACGCTTCTGCCCCGTGACCCGGAAGGATAAGTGGCAGTCGAAACTGATTCATTGGCTATATTTGGGTTTAGGGCA